AGTGATTCTCCTGCTTTAGCCTCCCTAGTTACAGGCATGCGCCACCACGCCAGGCTAATCTTGTACTTTTAGGAGAGTCAGGGTTTCTCCATGTTGGTCAGGCTGGTCTCCAACTCCCGACTTCAGGTGATCCGCCCGCCTTGATCTCCCAAAGTGCTGGGATTACAGGTGTGAGCCACCATGCCCAGCCGGCTGGTTTCATTATTTGTTAAACAAGATAGTAACATCTGGCTGGGCACAGTGGCTCATGCCTGTAATCCCAGCACTTTGGGAAGCTGAGGTAGGTAGATTGCTTGAGCCCAGGAGTTTGAGACCAGGCTGGGCAACGTGGAAAAACCCCATCTCTATAAAAACTAAAAAATAATAATTGGCCAGATGTGGTGGTGTATACCTGTAATCCCAACTACTTGGGAGGCTGAGGTGGGAGGATCACTTGAGGCTGGGAAGTGAAGGTTGTTGCAGTGAGCTGCAATCGCACCACTACACTCCAGCCTGGGTGACAGAGCAAGACCCTATCTCAAAAACAAACAAACAAACAAAAAAAAAAAAAAAAAAAAAAAGAAAGAAAAAAGAACAAAGAAAAAAGGGCAGGAACATCTTCTGTATGCATTTCAGATAATTAAATAATATGGAAAGCAAAGATAGATGTTCCTAACTCCAATTCCCTCATTTTGGCCATAGATTAAATTTTGTCATCCATGTAATCTTCCAGGAAACCTGAATAAGCTGATTTTAATTTAATTTTAACAACTGGTAATCAATTTATTAAAATAGTCGACTTAAGCATCTGCGGTGATGACGTCCACCTCAGCTCCCCGCTCAGTACCGATGGAGTCACCTGCTTAGCCATCTCAAGGACTGTGCGAGTCAATGAGTAGCTTGTGGATTCTCATCTGGAAGCGATCCCATGTCTTAGAACCTTCACCAAAAGGAGTTTCTCTTATAGTGGTTCTCAAAGTCTTGGTAGGCATTCCAGCTGGTCCCTTCACTTTGAGATTCTTTTCCTTTGCCCCTGTGATCAAATGGGCACATACCGCCAGGGATTTTACCTTGCGACTCGTTAGAGTGGTTCAAATTCAGTGAATTGCCACCTCAGCTCCACGGGTGTTTTTATGGCATCTTTAAATGCCTTGACTGTTGTGCAGCTTCCTGACCGACTTGTTCCTGGGCAAGAGCGAACAGCGGTGTGTGAGGAGCGGGAGCGGGTGGATCCGAGCTCCTCACCACCTACCACTGCGATCTCCTCAAAGAGTGAATTTTTTTCTGTTTGTGACAGAGTCTTGCTCTGTCTCCCAGGCTGGAGTGCAGTGGCGCCATCTCAGCTCACTGCAACCTCCGCCTCCTGGGTTTAAGTAATTCTCCTGCTTCAGCCTCCCAAGTAGCTGGGATTACAGGCACGTGCCACCACGCCCAGCTAATTTTTGTATTTTTGTTTCGCCATGTTGTCGAGGCTGGTCTCAAACTCCTGACTTCAGGTGATTCGCCCATCTTGGCCTCCTAAAGTGTTGGGATTATAGGCGTGAGCCACGGCGCCTGGCCTAGTCTATGTTCTTAGTAGCTGAGCATATGTATACATCCTTTGAACCTTTGTGGACCTGTTTCCTTATATGTTTTTCCCTTTCTATTTATTTATTTTTTGAGACAGAGTCTTGCTCTGTCACCCAGGCTGGAGTGCAGTGGCATGATCTCAGCTCACTGCAACATCTGCCTCCTGGGTTTGAGCAATTCTTCTGTCTCAGCCTCCCAAATAGCTGGGATTACAGGTGCCTGCCACCATGCCTGGCTAGTGTTTTTTTTGTATTTTTAGTAGAGACAGAGTCACCATTATTGACCAGGCTGGTCTCCAACTCCTGGCCTCAAGTGATCCACCTGCCTTGGCCTCCCAAAGTGCTGAGACTACAGGCATGAGCCACCGTACCTGGTCTGCTTCCTTATCTTTAAAATAAAATTAGGTTGGATAATATTTAAGTTCTCTTCCGATCTAAAGTTCAGAAAAAAATTTTATAATGTGAGAGAAAAATAGGAAGTATATCATACATTTTCATGTCTATCAGTCTATCCACCAATCTTCCATCCGTTTACTCTGTAAATATTTTCTGTATGCAAGGCACCTTCAAGCTACAGAAACAATGTCTAAGATGTAGCCCTGCTTTCAAGGATGTTATGGAAATCCTTCTCCTGCCAGGGTGTGAGGAGGTGGGGAGAGCGGAGAACTGGGGAGAACTCCTTAAAGGGGCCTTTACTAGCCAGTGCTAGAGGAAGCTGCTAATCAATCAATTAATTAATTAACAATCAGCAAATGGCAGACAGTGGGGAAGTGTGGCTTAGCTTCCAAATGCTAATTACGGGCCCCTTTATGGAGCTGAGACAGGGCAAATCATTGCAGGATCCCAGATGAGCTGGCACACAGACATCGCGAGGAGGGTGCGATTCTCCTCTGTACCAGCATGCTTGCCAGCTTTTATCTGGTGAGATTAATTAGAACTTTTAGAAGTGCAAGTTAGGGCCATAAAATATTAACATTCATGTCACTGGTGATCTGTAAGTGCACTGAGAGAGCCCGGAGCAATTTTAGGGTATTGTTGCTTGAACAGCGATCTGGAGGTTTAGATTTCTTTTCCAGTGACGGTTTCTCAGTGGCTGCTCAGTGACTGTGCATCCTCACCAAACCGACCCCTGCCACTGAATGTCCCTTGCCTCTGTGAGTTCATGCATTCGTCTCTCTCATCCCTTTCATGCTTCCCAGAAACTGTAACGTCATGTTGGTACCTTTGTCATACACCTACGTTTGGAATCCCGGCTGTGGGTCTCTAGGAAAACTGCCTGGCTCAGTGTTTCAGGTTGTTCCTCCCATCGTTATCATGACCTCTGATGCCCCATCACAGAAACTCCCACAGCTAAATGCTCCCGGAAGGTGATGTTAATAATGGACTGGTTCATTTGCCTTACTTTCCTTTTTTTTTTCTTTCAGAATAGCTGGGATTACAGGCACCTGCCACCACACCCAGCTAAATTTTGTATTTTTGGTAGAGACAGGGTTTCACCATGTTGGCCAGGCTGGTCTCAAACTCCTGACCTCAGGCGATTCACCTGCCTCGGCCTCCCAAAGTGCTGGGATTTACAGGTGTGAGCCACCATGCCGGGCCACGCCTACAGCACCCGGTGGTCCCAGGCGGTCTCCCATCCAAGTACTAACCAGGCCTGACCCTGCTTAGCCTCCCAGATCAGACTAGATTGGGTGCATTCAGGGTGGTATGGTGGTAGACTCTTGCTTTTTTTTTTTTTTTTTCCTGAGATGGAGTCTTACTCCATCACTCAGACTGGAGTGCAGTGGCGCAACCTCAGCTCACTGAAACTTCTGCCTCCTAGGTTCAAGCGATTCTCCTGCCTCAACCTCCTGAGTAGCTGGGATTACAGGTGCCTGGCACCACACCCAGCTAATTTTTGTATTTTTAGTAGAGACAGGGTTTCACCATGTTGGCCTGGCTTGTCTTGAACTCCTGACCTCAGGGGATCCGCCCGACTCGACCTCCCAAAGTGCTATGATTACAAGCGTGATTACAAGCGTGAGCCACCACACCCGGCTGCAGTATCATGGATTTACATGAAAAGAAATATACAGTATTAGAACTCTGGGACTTTGAGATGTGCTAGGTAAGATTTCGCAGGTACAAATGGATTGTCTCAGACACAGAACTGTCACAATGCACTGCTGGGGAGACGCAGAACCCCTGAGGTATCCCCTTCCCATTGCTGCCTTCTAAGGAATGACAAGACCTGACCACAACTAGACCCAATGGGCTAATGTGACCATTTCAGCTCCATCATGTGAGGGGACATTTGTCACACCCGAGGTTTCCCATCACCCTCTGGGCGCCTTTCTCCAGTGAAATTTCCATGTTCTGAACTCTGCCGCCCCTACCAAGAAGTGTGAATTCAGGGCTGGGCGCGGTGGCTCATTCCTGTAATCCCAGCACTTTGGGAGGCCGAGGCAGGTGGATCACTTGAGGTCAGTAATTCAAGACCAGCCTGGCCAGCATGGTGAAACCCCATCCTACTAAAATACAAACATTAGCTCTACATGGTGGTGCATGCCTGTAGTCCCAGCTACTTGGGAGGCTGAGGCAGGAGAATCACTTGAAACCGGGAGGCAGAGGTTGCAGTGAGCCGAGATTGTGAGCCACTGCACTCCAGCCTGGGCAACAGAGCAAGACACCTCCTGAAAAAAAAAAAGATAAGTGTGAACTCAGACTCCTAGCCTCTCTGCCAGGAGACATGGACACGCTTCCCAGCTCACACCCCTCAGATGCACCTGTTTTAAGCTTTGACATGACAGGGGCCAGTTGATGGAGAGGCTCTGTGTGCAGATCCTGCTCCGCTGGTGCTGGTGGTGGCGGTGACACCTGGCTGCTGGGGGCAGCAGTGGTGGCAAGAGTGAGTCCCTGAGGCCCATGTTGGGTTCAGCTATGCTTGCAGGAAAGTCACGCCCCCAGGCTCAGGTCTCGGGAGAGGCTGGGGCCATGGCCGTGAGAGTTGCCGCAGGAAGCTCAGTCTCAACACTTTTCCTCTGACCCCTCTCAAGGGGGGTTGAGCCTGTGAGTTACTTGAGGTCTTTAGCAAATCTTTTGTGTCTGTCTTTTTCTGCTTAAATTAGCCAGGGTGAATTGTGTTTTGAGTTTTGTTTTTGGTAACTAAAAATCCTGACCCTTACACATTGGTACCAGGAGTGGTCCCAAGCAACAGACCTTCAGGAAAAGCGAGATCTGAAGTTTATTATCTGAAATGAGTGGGTCTGATCACAGAGAGAATGCATTTCGTGTAGAAGGGTGGGCACCAGGGGCAAAACTGGTACTTCAATGAGGGCTTTGTCATGATCTGGACAGTCCCAACCGTTGAAGGCAAGGCTTTGTGGGGAATGAAAGGGGACAGCCATGGAATGTGATGGAAACAAGAAGGTTAAACTTGGCGGGTTGTTTGGCTGCTTTTAAACACACTGGAGGACCCTCTGTAGTTCCCGAGCATGATGATTGAGTGTTCACGTGCATGTGTGGGATGTGCCACCCTCTGAACCTTATCATGATGTTGGCACATTACTCTGGACCTGACCTTGGATAAACAAACAAACAAACAAACTGGAGGCCAGGTGTGGTGGCTCACACCTGTAATCCCAGCACTTTGGGAGGCCATGGTAGGCAGATCACTTGAGGTCAGGAGTTTGAGACCAGCCTCACCAATATGGTGAAACGCTGTCTCTACTAAAAATATAAAAATTAGCTGGGTGTGGTGGCGGGCACCTGGAATCCCAGCTACTCAGGTGGCTGAGTCAGGAGAATCACCTGAATCCGGGAGGCAGAGGTTGCAGTGAGGCAAGATCGTACCACTGCACTCCAGGGCGACATAGTGAGACTCTGTCTCAGAAAAAGAAAAGAAAAAAAAGATTGGCCAGGCATGCTGGCTCACACCTGTAATCCCAGCACTTTGAGAGGCTGAGGCAGGTGGATCACCTGAGGTCAAGAGCTCGAGACCAGCCTGACCAACATGGTGAAACCCCATCTCTACTAAAAATATAAAATTAGCCTGGTGGCGGGCACCTGTAATCCCAGCTACTTGGGAGGCTGAAGCAGGAGAATCACTTGAACCCAGGAGGTGGAGGTTGCAGTGAGCCAAGATTGTGCCATTGCACTCCAGCCTGGGTGACAGGAACAAAACTCCATCTCAAAAAAAAAAAAAAAAAAAAAATACACTGGAGACAATAAGTCTTAAGTTTTGGCTTCAGATGTTTTCAAAGAACTGGGGAATTTCTGACTCTTCTGAATGGGAATCTCCAACAATGGCAGCGTGGGGCTGCCGGTCTGTGCAGCCTGGCTCCTGTGTACCGTTTACGACCTGTGACAGGCTGCGCTCTATTTCATGAACAGCAGGACTCCCCTCAGGAAGACTCCACAGGGTCCTGTGGCTTGGAGGGGGCCATGCGGAGAGATCTGGATGACCTGGAGCTTGCTGTATCCCCAACCCACAGAGTGCCCCTTGCAGCAGAAGCTGCCCCCGTTCTGCCTGATGGAGCTTGAAGACCCTGTAATAGGCTCACAGGACTGTCACATGCGAGAAGGAGCCAGCTGTCCTCATGCTAAACTCTCACCCACCGCCTGCCTCCAAGCCGGTGAGTAGATTCCAGGCTGTCTGTCGCTGAGCTGGTGGTTATTACTTGCCCGGAGAGTCTGACTAATGGATTGCTGCTTTAGGCTCCTGTTGTCACAGGGAGTTCTGCTATCAAAACAGAACAAAATAAAACTGGCTGGGCACGGGTGGCTCATGCCTGTAATCCCAGCACTTTGGGAGGCCCAGGACGGTGGATCACTTGAGGTCAGGATTTCGAGACCAGCCTGGTCAACATGGCAAAACCTTGTTTCTACTAAAAATACAAAAATTGGCCAGGCGCGGTGGCTCAAGCCTGTAATCCCAGCACTTTGGGAGGCCAAGACGGGCGGATCACGAGCTCAGGAGATCGAGACCATCCTGGCTAACACAGTGAAACCCCGTCTCTACAAAAAAAAAAAAAATACAAAAAACTAGCCGGGTGAGGTGGCAGGCGCCTGTAGTCCCAGCTACTCGGGAGGCTGAGGCAGGAGAATGGCGGGAACCCGGGAGGCGGAGCTTGCAGTGAGCTGAGATCCGGCCACTGCACTCCAGCCTGGGCGACAGAGTGAGACTCCGTCTCAAAAAAAAAACCCAAAAAAACCAAAAAACAAAAATTAACTGTGTGTCGTGGAGCATGCCTGTAATCCCAGCTTCCTGGGAGGCTGAGACAGGAGAATCACTTAAACCCAGGAGGCAGAGGTTTCAGTGAGCCGAGATGGCACCACTACCATCTCGGGCACAGGGTGAGACTCTGTCTCAAAACAAAAAAAGAACACAACCAAACCCAGCCTGCTCCCTCTCACCGCTGTCACCTCCCTCCTTCGCCCTCCTGGTTTGAATTAGTGGCAGTGGTGGAGGGTGGGGCAGAACAACTGGCTACAACAAGAAACAAACTAACCAAAATGTGCGTACATGGGTACATGGCTACCAGGCAGTTACTGTGGTGTCCGGCTCAGCCAGGGCCCACGCTGGGTGATCGTGTCTGTCTGTCTGTTTTCCTTTGCATCTTCAACTAGACGTGGGCGTTCCTTACTCCTGTACAAAACTTCCGCTTGCTCCTTGTCCCCTGTGGCAGAAGCCTGCCTGCACATGCCTGGGGGGATTTCTCTTCCCAGGAGCAACTAAGTTTGTCCCTGAGCAGTTCCTAGATTTGTTTGTGGAGACTTTAGGGAAGATAAACATGGAAATTCTGATACAAATTTGAAGCCCTGGGAGTGGTGATAATGAGCGTGGCTGTGAACATCGCTTCCATTTCTGGAAGGACCTGTGCGGCTGCCACTCTCAGGGGGCTTGTGGGACCAGCCTGGGACCCAGCCACTCTCAGCAAGGTCCCCAGGCCAGAATTGGGCTGTAGGTGTCTTTCTTTGTGTTTTTTTTTTGTTTGTTTTGTTTTTGCTGAAGTCTCACTCTGTCGCCAGGCTGGAGGGCAGTGGCGTGATCTCGGCCCACTGGCTCACTGCAACCTCCGCCTCCCGGGTTCAAGCCATTCTCCTGCCTCAGCTTCGCGAGTAGCTGGGATTACAGGCGCCTGCCACCACGCCTGGCTAATTTTTGTATTTTTAGTAGAGATGGGGTTTTACCATGTTAGCCAGCATGGTCTTGATCTCTTGACCTTGTGATCTGCCCGCCTCAGCCTCCCAAAGGGCTAGGATTACAGGCGTAAACCACTGCACCCGGCTTTGCTTGTTTTTTTTTCTTTTTGAGATGAAGTCTTGCTCTGTCGCCCAAGCTGGAGTACAGTAGCGCGATCTCAGCTCACTGCAACCTCTGCCTCCTGGGTTCAAGCGATTCTCCCGCCTCAGTCTCCCAAGTAGCTGGGATTATAGGCACACGCCGCCATGCCTAGCTAATTTTTGTATTTTTAGTAGAGACGGGGTTTCATTATGTTGACCAGGCTGGTCTCGAACTCCTGATCTCATGATCCACCTGCCTTGGCCTCCCAAAGTGCTGGGATTACAGGCGTGAGCCACCGTTCCCGGTGAAACTGTCTTTTGAGATGTTTCTTGGTCTTTAGTGTACATCTCAATATTCACATAAATGCTTGCTTGAGTGCTGTTGAAAAGGGAAAAAAACCTTGGAAATAACGTAAATGCCTGCAGCAGGAGAAAGTCTGAATTTATCACGGTAGAGCCAGGAAATCTAGGTGTTAGGTAGATGTTGGCAAGTTGGAGGACTAAGTTTCGAAAGAGTTTGTCAAAAGTAGAATGTCTCAAAGACGTCACTGCAAACGGCTGCATCATATTTGATTATATGGATACACAGGACTGGAACTTCTTTATCCGGTTTCCTCTTTTTAAGTAGTAAAGTTGTCTTCAGTTATATTTGCTATTAGAAATAACTTGATGGTCTTTTTTAATACAGAATTTTCTATTGCTTAAAACTTTCCTTAAAATAGATTCCTAGAAGGGGAATTTCTAGATCAAATGGTTTGGATTTTAAGGATTTCCAAAATGCTTTTCACATTTGTGCTGATTTACCCCCCTGCCACTGTGTAGGAAAATTGAATTCTATTTTCCCCAACATTATTATTATTATCTTTAATTAGAATGACTAAAATGCTGTTTCATATTGTTTTAGTTTACACTTCTGGATTATCACTTTGGCCGACCATTTGTATTTTATTTTTGTTTTTTTGAGACAGGGTCTCACTCTGTCACCCAAGCTGGAGTGCAGTGGCGCAATCACGGCTCACTGCAGCCTTGACCTCCTAGGGTCAAGCAATTCTCCTGCCTCAGCCTCCCAAGTAGCTAGGACTACAGGCGTGTACCACCATGTCTGGCTGATTTTTGTATTTTTTGTAGAGACAGAGTTTCACCATGTTTACTGATCTTGAACTCCTGGGCTCGAGCTCAAGCGATCCTCCCACCTCAGCCTCTCAAAGGGCTGAGATTATAGATATGAGCCATCGTGCTTGGCCCAGCTGACCACTTTTAATGATTTTTAAAGTTACTTGTGTACTTTCTGGGAATTACCTGTTTGCACACTGGGCCCATTTTTCTATTGAGTTTTAGTGTTTTTCCTATGAATTTATACAAACTGTTAACTAGGGCAGTTCATGGTACTGCACACTGCCTACCTGCAGCTGGCCTTTGGAAACCCTTTAGTTCAATAGTAACGAGTGGCCTCTGCCTTGTGCCAAAGTGTTCTTCCGCTAATCCCAAAGTTAAGAGCTTATATCTTGTCCAGGCAAAAGGAGACGTGTCCTATGCAGATTGTTTGTATGTAACAAGAGTGTATTTTTAAAACCATGGGAATAACTCAAATTACAATTCATTTAAAATGTGATCCTCTTGCATGGCTCCTTAAGTGAAACCTGAAGGAATCAATATTAGATTTATTTGTTTGTTCATTTATTTTGAGACAGACTGTCTCTCTGTTGCCCAGGCTGGAGCGCAGTGGCGCGTTCTCGGCTCATTGCAACCTCCCACTCCTGGGTCCAGTCGATTCTCGTGCCTCTGCCTCCCAAGTAGCTGGGACTACAGATGTGCACCACCACACCCAGCTAACTTTTTTTGTATTTTTAGTAGAGGCAAGGTTTTGCCATGTTAGGCAGGCTGGTCTCGAACTCCTGGCCTCAAGTGATCCGCCCACCTTGGCCTCCCAAAGTGGTGGGATTATAGGCGTGAGCCACTGTGCTTGGCCAACTTAGATTTATGTGTATGCAGTGAGTAACCGATCTGTTTTATTTAGACCATGATATTGTAAGTATTTCTTGTCTTTAGAAAGTGACAGTCCCAAAGCTGCTGTATCAATAATTTTGTTAGATTTGACAGCAATAGAATATTTTGAGGATATTTATTTGTGATAAACCACCAAAAGGGAGGGCAAGTAGGAGCCTGGACTGAAGGTCCTGAGTGGGCGTGTGACATCTGGGAGTCCAGCAGCCGCTGCAAGGCACTGGGTAGCATACGAGTTTTAACTGACCTCCAAGGAAAATTTCATTACTAAGAGGGGACTTTTAAGACAAAA